ATCTGAAATAAATAGAAAGATGTCGGAAAGTCCAAGTTTTTAAAAATCTAGTTACTATGTCAGCATTCTGAACTAGTAGTCTGAGACAGTGGACATTTACTGGAATTCTTCTTAAAAGTGATTTTTGACATAGCTTTTCTTATCAGTGTCCTCTTAACAAACTTTACATTCCATTCAATCTCGTATAGGGAATAAAATAATAAAGCGCGCTTAGTATCTGTACGATAGCTAGGCTTCAGTCAGACTACAGTTAGTTCTGGTAGTAACTCAGGTCAAAATCACTTCTTAGTACAATATAATGCAGTTTCTTCAATCTAGTAAAGCAGACACTTGTTAACACTGCAGAAACATTCACACCAAGGTAATCGCTCCAAATGAATAAGGTATAGAATTTTATAAAAAATCAACGTGCTAGACACATGAAATGAACTCATCGGTTTTCATTTCCAAACGATTCAAAAAAGCGTATTGTTGATACTTGAAGGTGAGGTGAAAAGCAAATGGTCCTGTTGTAGGCTTTAGAAATTCTGTCATAGTCTCAGTCTGTTACTGGATAGCCTTATCCAAAAAAAGGTTATTTTACCAACAGTGGTGCCAATATATGTTCACAGCTCTATGCATCAACTAAAGGCATTGAGATTTGAATTTACAACTCATTGCATGATTTAATTCACAGTTATGTTGCAACATCTTCTAAACTAACATGCCTACTTTCCACTAGGTACTTGATTGACGTATTTATACCTTTTGCAAGAAATCAGCTGAATTTTTAAGTACATAGGTCTGTGATCCTTTACCGATATATTATTGATAATACTCACAAAGTGTTTCACTTACCAAATGCAGCACCTATAAATCTAACTATCCAACCATCTCGTTTATATGAAATTTTATTTAAAACAATATCAACATGCATTTTCGCTTGAATTATGGTTTAGAAGAAAATAAACAGACAGAGTGAGGGTGTTCATTGAAGTAAACTATGTCCTTAATTTGTATATTTCCGAGTGATACTGGTGTCTGCGTTGAGTTAAATATATTTAACATTGATGCAGATATAGAATTAGTATTTCGAAAAAAAAAAGAAAAGAGTAAATCAACCATCTTAGCAGTTGGAAATCACAGCCCTTAAAACCTAGTTTACTTCACTTCTTGAATTTTGCAAAGAAGAATATAAAATATTCCGAGATTAAGGAATAAACAGAGGCGCATAGACGATCCGAAGGCGGGATATGAAGTGGGGCAACTGAAATTCTGTTCTCACTGCACAGGTTGATGCTCCCCTTTTTCGAAAGTTCTCTTATATTGATAACTTGATGTTCACGTATAAGCAGTATAGCGAAATTTCATACAAATACCATGCACAAGTTAAATCTACATAAACATTGATTTTGATTCTTTGTTTAACCTGAACAGAGATCCATTTAACAGTACAGACTTCCTCAATTAATAATTCTTTTTTTTCTAAATATCAACACATTTTGCTTGGGTTATTGAGAAGGAAGAATTTTCAAAGTCTTGTCTATTATTATATATTATTTTTTCCTTGGGTTCTTAATGGAACATGGAGCTTCAGTAGCACGTCTCCATTGCACTCTTTTCTCTCCACTCTTTTGGCTCCACGACTGCTCACAACCTTTCATTTCTTCCTCACACCACCTCCTCCACGTCACCCTCGCATAAGACGCCCAACTCGTCGTTTCCTCTTTGGATTCCACTCGAGGGCATGGTCTGGCCTGGCGCATGATGTCCCAATCGGCCTTCTCAGTGCATGCCCAATCCAATGCAATCCATCTCCAATTTCTTCTGCATAATTGTTGGGGAACAGGTTCTTGGTTGGTTCGTTGCCAGGTAGCCAGAGTTCCTTGTTGCTTATTCTTAGTATTCTGACCGTCCATCTGATCTTTAGTATCGAGTGAGCGTAGGCAGCTGTTGATGGATGTCTGTAGTTTGTTGGAAATGCCTTTCGTGACACGCCAAGTCTCTGAAACATATAGAAGCACTGACTTGACATTGATGTTGAAAATCCGGATCTTGTTCCACATGCTGAGTGCAGAAGATCTCCACACTGGTTTCAGGTTAATGAACGCCTGTCTTGCTGTCTTTGCGATGCTAGCTGATTTTGACATCCTCGTCTGTGCCTGTGCCGCATGTAGTTGAAACGATGCTGCCTACCTAGGTAAGTGAAAGAGACTATTTTTTTTAGGTTGCTTTCGTTAATGGTGATTTGAGCTTGTTGTTGATGCTCTGTCGGTTGAGTATCTTCATCATCTCACTCTTCTCTACGTCCACCTGAAAGAGGTCTCACATTCTCTGCCCTACCTCTTCTGCCAGCTTGTTAGTTTTCACCTGTACATCTTCGAGTTTGTGCGACAAGGCATTAGACATAAACCATCGTCGGCGGCGAAGTCCAAATCTTCTTCTGCGGCCTTTCATTGGTCCAGCCAGCGTATACTCATCTTCTCACGCATCACGCTTTGGTGCATGACCCAGCCTAGTCGACCACAATCAGGAAGATGATCGGTGATAGTAGACAGCCTTGTTTTACTCCTGTCTTCACTTCAAATGTATCACTGAGCTTCCTATTGTGAATTACTTGGTATGTGGCGTCTTCATATAGCTGTTGAATGAGTTTTATGAAGATTTGTGGCACTCCGTAGTGTTGAAGCAGCTGCCTGTTAAATTACTTCTCAGTTAACATTATCAAAGGCCTTTTCAAAGTCAATGAACTTGTGGTAGATAGTTGACAGTCTTGCCTATAAGAATTGCTAATTATTTACTGCAAACAAACTTTCTGTAGTTTTATCCACTCGTGTGCATCAGAATTTAGTTCGTCAGTAGTTTCATCTTCCGTATGAGAATTTTTGTATCAGTAAGCAGTATTTCCCTGTTAGCAAATAAATAATAACACAGCATGGTAATCAGTAGTGACTTCAGCCTATCAAGTGGGTTGTGCAATTTGAACACTGTGGTAATCAGTTTGGCACCACAATTCAGTCAAAAAGGGGCGGTGAATGAGATTTAAAGGCCAAGTGGTTATATTTTGTTGTGATTGCTTACTATCACCCTGATGATGTGTGTCGATCGTTATCAATTTCCTGAAGCTAATAAGAGAAACTCCTTATATGAAATAAAATCCATGAAAAGTGTAGCTTTTGAGAAAAAGTCAAATTGCTAACCAGAGAGTTCAATCCAACCCTGAATATTTCGGTTACCTGCCTCTCTTTATTTTGAATTTCATATTAAAGATCTCTTCAAACATCTATCATTGTCTTAGTCAGCAATATTGCTAAGGCAGGATGTCTTTTTTACCTGACTGTGGTCATTACCATTTCCGAGATAATGGTTAACATTTGAAGTTTTATAAATTCACATCAGCACCACTCTATCAAACATTGGTTCCATCCGCTGAAATAAATGAAATGGAAGATAATTAATGGATACTGGATGTTGTTAAGACGCTGTCTGATGTTACGTTCTCCCAATGGAATAAAAATGTACAAAAACGATAGGAAAGATACATTGGATAAAGTTCTCCCATTTTCGTTTGGAAATTCGTAGATTTGATCACATTACCTTCATTCAAGGAGACTTTCACAGTTTTTGGCTGGAGAAAGCGGTTTTCATGGTTTCTTATTTTTCGACAAATAGTCTCACAGATACATTCTAGATAAAAAAAAAACTACTTGTGGGATAGACGTGATATTGAGTTTCCTGTGATCTACTCCGCTCTAGTTTGCAATAAACCCATATTATTTTTTGTTACTGAGGTGAAATTTTGGACTGCATCAAGCTTAGAAATAAGTGTGACTTTAATCTGTGTTTCCGACTTCTGGCTGTAACTCCTTACATCAAGAATGAGTAACTTTTGCTGCAACTGTGAGCTTTAGGAGGAAACAAAGTGTCACGCAGCATCAAATGTAGCAGTTTTCAGGACCAGTTACACCAAGCGCTGATGACAAAAGTACTGTGGCTGTAGTTTAGTGTCTGTTCCTGGTTGTCGTATCCGTCGCCCAATATCGTAGCAGCATATTCGTTGATCGTTGTTACTTTATTGATGACGTGTAGGAGAGATAAAGATATTCATATATGTGAGGTTGGAAATTATTAGTTATCTTTTAGTTTAAAAGCAGTACAGTCACAGGGTAGTTTAAAGATTTAAGGAAAAAAGCTAACAAAGGTCGGCTATTAGTATCACGTGGTATCAAAGCGTATTAAGCTGTGAATCGGAAGCTGAAAATCATATACTATAGAAGCTAACAAGGTAGTCCTTCTTTCGCAACAAAAGGCATGCATATATAAAATAGCAAACATAGTTGAGAGGTATATATTATTGATAGAGAGGGCTAGCAGTGGAATGTAAGACTCGCGTTTCATCCTATTTGGGACTTGTCAGGTGGATGTTCCTGCTTCCAAGTGACCAGTGTTGTTCCAATCAGGACTCTAACTGGGGACCGATCGCTTCGAAACCCAAAGCGTTATCCACTAGACCACTACCAGCGACTGTCCATCATTAATACATAATTCAAACACAGGCAATATCAAAGCATATATGCACGAGCGCATATTCCAGTTGAGACCGATCAATTCAGTCTACTATTAATGGTCTATGTTTGCTTTTACAAAGATAAGTGTTCGAAATGGAAAATCAACTCAATATACCACAGTTTCATATGAAGTAAGTGCCGATGAAGTCATACCATGTTCATGAAACGTTCAAGAACAAAATTCAAAGCTCGGAAAACACGAAACAAGTATCGTTTTCATTCTCAGCTACAGATCTCAACTGTATCATAATTTCTTTCAACTCTAATCCCTACGTCGTTTATCAGAAATTATCTTACACATCTGAAGTCGTAACCCTACAGATTAAATTAGCCTAAGAAGTGCTCTACTCAGATTTGTATCACACCATGTCATAAAATTCAAACAAAACACATGGAGTCGATCACTGAGGCAGAATTTGAAGCAAATGTCTTATCTCACCTTGAGAGTTTAGCATGCAATGTAGGTAATGACATAGGATAGAGACATTTTCTAATCAAGTAATCGATAGTCGTATCTTTCGCTAGTACAATTTCTAGTAAATTTTTAATGCACAAAACATATTTTTAAAGATAATTCAACTTGCAGCAAGCTGACTAGACCGTCCAACAGAAGTATTCCTTTTCATAAGGCCGAACAACTCTTCACCATCTTTGTAGAAGACATAGATGACTATGAATTAGAATTCGAAAAACAATATTTTCATTGTTACACATTAGGGTAGACATTCTGCGAACGCAGATAAACAATTGCCATCAGAAATCTAGTTTATTGACTGGAGTAAAAGCTTTTTCTCGCTTTACACCATTACATTTTGCATACCACTAATAATAATAATAATACAAATTACCCATTTTCATATTCAAGCGTAATTATCATTTGTGACCAATTTCCGTTTATTTCACTTTTATTACAGATACAATATTACTACTGTATTTGATTCCGGTTCAACTGAAATTTTGGCACCAGACAGTAAGTAAATCGTTTTTTATTTTTATTACTTCTATTTATATTCAAGTAATCTTTTCCCAGATGTTATACGTAATTAAGTTTTCATAAATTATATGCGTAATATACATAATATTGTATATGAATATGATTTGCATGCAGTTGGACACCATAAAATTAATGCTGATAATAATCGCTATCTAAAGTCCATCTTATTAGTCAATAAATTAACCTGTAAGGATGTACAACTGTATACCCCTAATATATCAACATTAACGGAATCGGTTCAAGGATGATCATTTATTGAACTAGCGTAATGTGATTAGTTAATCTCGTCTATTGCAAGCTTGTGAACAATGCAGCTTTTTGGTCGTTTGTACAAAGTGTGTTAAGGAAAAAGCTGAATATAAGCTTAGGCTTAGTATTGTTTGGAAAATGATATCAATAAAATATGAATTTTCACTGCTTACAAGTGTTTTATAAGATAGTTAAAATGAAGTATTGTAGATTTTGTTTACTGATACTTATAATCCCTCATTGGTGTATTGGGTCAAACTGTTCAGACTCTGTTGACAGATGGGCTCCTATGCTCCTGTGTGGATGACGCTTTGGTGTTTAAAATGGTAGGTACTGGATTTGAGTCTCAGTGGGAATATCATCACTCACTTGGATTCACGTACATCTAGCTGACAAGTTCAAAACAGGAAGAAATACGCTTCCTGGCTTTCTCTGCTAGTCGACAACGTGTTCGTAAAGATTTTATATATGAAGCTTGAGAAAGGGAAACAGGTAAATAGTCCTATTTTGTACAATAGGCGTTTTCTTCCATCAAGGAGAAAATTCAGTTGTTTATGTATCACTGAATTTTGAGGGAAAAAAGAAGTAATAAAATCTAGTCACGCAAATGTTTAGCACATGAATGAAGCAAAGAACGTTTTCTTCTCTTTAAGTATAAGCTGAAACATATCCATTCCACCTGTCTATATTATTTTTAGGGATTAAAAACCTGCAGAACTGAGTTTTACAGGATTATCTGAACATTTTTCGTGAATTTTTAAAAAATATTGTTAAATTTATTCACCTGATATTTGGAATACAGTATTTTTCAACCACTTCACAAACCTTACAGTTTTACTCACCTATGCAAATTAACTTTGGAAGAACAGTTAGCTGCCTTTTGAGTGAGTCACTTTAAAATTGGTGAGAAGTTATCGCCTTCCCCTTCTATGAGACCGTAACCTATCACTTTTATTTAGTAAAAAGGGGTGCATAGTGCTGTAGAAGCACAGTACAGAGTGACCATGATATAGAGGAAATCGATTAGAAATATTAGTAGGTGTCACTAACGGAGATTAGAAGTGAGTGATTCAAAGACGATATTGTTTTGCCATATTATGAAGTTCAGTACTGTCGAATGACTGCCTGCTAAAATAGGAATACATTTCTCTTGTATCCTGCTTTCTCCGGAGTTTTCGATATACTTTATGAAATCCAAAAGAACTTTGCGAAAAAAAAGAGAACAAACTCAGCAACGTCAAGCATATTCGTTCAGTAGCAATGATTCACACCTATTGTGTGAGGATTAGTGATATTACCTGATAGCCCAGACTTTGGTAGGTGTAACAGGACTTGAACTTCTGACGCAATGGTTGATGTTCATCTTCTTAAACCACTGAGCCAAATCACCAAAAATGACTTTACAGCTAAGATTGATCGATTTTTAACTATCTGTTAATTGCATAGTCATCTTCATTCTACCACACGAAACTACTCATAGAGCACATTGGAACTGAAACGCGTTACTCCCATCACCATACTTTTTCGCTCTCAAGCCGTAAACAACGAAGTACCAGGTTGTTGGCTGTATGTGCGAGTCTAGTAAATATAAACATAAGTCTGACAAACGTTCAGGCGAAAAGTAGACGTATAACAAACGTTTTATAATTTTCAGTTGTCATGCCTACGATGATACTACCACAATAAAGTCAAGTTTTGCTCTAAACTTATATATATATACATATATATATTAGCTGGATACTTTTTATTTTATTTTACCGTCAATTTGTTCGTTTTCAATATACATTATATAAGGCATTTTGTTCAGTTACCAATAAAAGCATGAAAATACCCTGAAGTGTATAAGTGAAATATTTTACTATGTGTTAGTTGCTTGTGTGTTCAAGCAGTTGAAATACTTTTTTCAACATCAACTCTTGTTAGCACTGTATCTGGAAAAAACGTTTTGACAATTACTAGAAGCACGAAGCAAAGTATGCTTTTCAATCCACTGTTCAACCAAAGAATTTCTTGAAGACAGAGTATGAAGGCAACTTACCTGACATTGGAGATAAATAAACTTACAGTACCACAGTTATACTAACTTGTGTTGATGAACCTGTTTTTCAAAAAGCCTGGGAATGATCTAAGTGATTCGACGTTGACTTACTAATAAATCGTTTCACGTGTATCAAATTCTCCTATCCATGGCCTCTTCGACCTCTATGTAAAAAGAGGAATTTGCATAGATTCACCAATCTCAAAAAAGAACAAGACAATTCTTATGCTTAGACAGTTTCCACCTATATCCTCACCACTATCTCACCTCACCGAAAGTGTTTGATGAAGCAGACAAAAGGATTATCACTGGGATGAGGCGACTGATGGAGATGGGATCCACAGTAGGGGGGTATACACGCAGATGTATGACATAGAAACATATATAACGACTCGTGTAAAAAAATGTACACATTTTGGCTGTTTTGTGTAGACCAGCTGTACATCGTAATCATAGTTGCAAATATATATGTATATATATATATATATATATATATATATATATATATATATATGCATATATCCGTCAGTGACAAATGGATCAAGACAAAGTCATTATAAACGGCGAATAAAGTCACAAGGTGATAGCGGCTAGGAGATCAAACTAAGGTCATCCGAAATTCCCTATAAGATTATAGTAAATAAACTAAGAAACTAATAAACTATCTTAAGGAGATTACGGCCAAGGCAAAATTAGAGATTGAATATACCTTTTTCGAACATGAGGAGCAGGCTTGCAATACTTGATTGCCAGAGCTTCTGCTATGCTGAGGTGGTGAATAGGCACTTGCTTCGAAATTTTTGCATTCACTTTACAAACGATTTTGAAAGAAGACTCTAGTGGAGTTTAGTCACGAGATGTAACCAAATACTCAAAAACTGAGCTGCTGAAGGCTTTGGACAGCCATCCAAGATGGTGTTCAGAGATGCGTCTGGATAGAATACGCTTTGTGCGGCCTATGTAACCAGCTCCACAATAGCAGGTGAATCGGTAAACACGTGTTTTCGTACTTTGATTTCTCAGGAATATGGGATATACTGTAAGAAACGGCGATGAAATTCTATATTTCCTTGTGCGAGGATCTAGAATTTAACGATGTCTAGGACATTTTTGATCACTTTCATGTTTATACTTACGATTGAGAATCCAGATACAACTAAAGTTTAGTTGTTGTAACAATTTTTAGGCATAAAAAAATTATTCAGTTTAAGTAAAGTGTAGTGAATATAGCTTTACGTGTATCATTGGCTTTTGATTAAAAAGTCAGAAAAAAATGTACTTATTAGTGCAAATAAGTCATAAGATCATTCTTTTAGTACAGTTTAAGGTCACAGATGTCAAAAAAAACAGGCTAGCGCTGAAATCCTTAATCTGAAACAATCATGTCAGATAGAATTTATTCGAAACTAGACTGTTCTAATGACTGACCTCAAAAGGCGAATTTGTAGATAGAGATTTTGAAGATTTTTTTCATACCTTCATCCGAATACTTCTTAGTAGTCGAAAGAGTTGTAACCGACGTGAACTGGACGCCTGATTGTATTCACACTGAAGTCAAAGTTACCTCGTTAGTTGTTGTCAAGACAAAACGAGTATTGTACACAAATAAAAAATGCGTCAGCATTATTAGTTCTCATCAGTAAGGTGTGATACTTAGGACGATTGGGTTGAATTTCAGTATTCATAAAGATACCAACTACTGTGTTGACTGGTAAATGAATATCTCACCTTTGTCACTGCAATGGTAAATGCACCGCATCAACATCTGACAGTCGATTAGTTAACACTGACTATCATACAAGAGGCAAGAAATTTTCTAGTTAACTTTTCCGTTTTTCAAATAAGTTAAGAGTAACTTATCACTTGCCATATGGTTTCATATTAGTTTTCTAAGACAATGTGGTTTCGCGCAATAACGCTACTGCATGCGAAGATTTCATGACGCACGAACACTCCCTTCACATTACAACTCTCCGTATTAAAAATGGGAAGCAACTACTGTGAAACTTGAAACAATTAGTTCCTTTAATAAATTTTGATAATGTTATTAGAAGACGACGACCATCAGAAAAATAAGATATATTTGCGCAATACACAGTGAAACTATCCAATTCTGCTATTACGGATCCCAAAACGGTCTCTAACCTTTCTATTTGTCTACTTCAGAAAAATATGCACTCGAATGAGGATGAATGGAATTCACTTTGAAACTAGACAATTTATCATAAGACAAAGTTGGCAAAAATGCACAAAATAAATTTCCTTGAAAGAATATGTATTCTTATTTCAGAAAAAGTGGAAAAGGTGACCGAAAAGGTTACACACTGAAACTGAGCGTTGAAGAGAATATTCTACAATGCTTTCCTGAAGTGAAAGCCAGTTAGCTTGAGATTATCACCACCTTGACAGTCCAACGTGTGTCGTTCTAAATCTTCCTTAATATGCAAGCTTCTGATAGATTAGAAACGTAAATCTAGTATTTGCTCAGGCAACAATAACAATATAATACACGCTACAGTTCTTTATTTGATATTTTGTTGCTAATGATTGACAAAAGATATATAAACCGGTTAATTTCGCTGCTGCGAAAGCATATAGTAACGGCTGACTGAACAAAATGCTACACATTATGACTGACAACGTTTGAAGGTATTGATTATGAACTAATAGTGCAGGTTTTTAGAAACCC